ACAGACACACAGACACACAGACACACAGACACACAGACACACAGACACACAGACACACAGACACACAGACACACAGACACACAGACACACAGACACACAGACACACAGACACACAGACACACAGACACACAGACACACAGACACACAGACACACAGACACACAGACACACAGACACACAGACACACAGACACACAGACACACATACACACAGACACACATATACACAGATACACAGATACACAGATACACAGATACACAGACACACAGACACACAGACACACAGACACACAGACACACATACACACACAGACATCATCGAAAAAATAGTCAAAACGGATTCAGGGGACCTCAAAACGTAAAAATCCGTCGAAAACTCGAGGTCGAAAAAAATCATGATTCCTATACTTTCCTTATATCTGTATACAGATAGGAAAGTAATAAGCAACAAAATTCACAATGAAAGGGTAAAAAACAGGGACGTCTTACAACGATTAATAGATTTAACTTGTTTCCTGGGAGAGCATGAACTAAGTTTTAGGGGTCACAATGAAGCAAGTGGATCCGCCAATCGAGGAAATTACATAGACCTTCTAAGTTTTTTAACAAAATACGATGATACCCTAAAAAATCATTTTATTGATTCGACGACTTTCCGAGGTACCTCAAACAGAATCCAAAATGGTTTAATTAAATGCACTGCCGACGTTGTGATGGATTAAAAGTGAAATTAAAAAAGCACCTTCCGTATAAATTGTGCTTGATGAAACCACAGATGAAGCAAAGTTAATTATCCATTGTTGTGCGATATGTATTGTATGGCATTCCTCAAGAGCGATTCTTAGGATTTTTGGACGTCACTAGCGAACGAACTGCAGATGCATTGTTTAAAATTGTTTGTGACAATATTTCAAGTTTAGAATGTGGTTCTAAGCTTGTTGCCCAGAGCTACGATGGTGCTACCGTAATGGCTGGTCATTTAGGAGGCCTTCAAGCTAAAGTGAAATTTAGCCCTAATATCTATTGAAAAACAGCTTGTTAAACAGTTATCAGAAAATCCAAAATTTTACGACGATGGTATAGACAAATTTACAACCATTGAGAATAGGCGAATAGATCTTAAAAAATAAAAAAAAAAAAAACTTTAGTTAAATGTTTTTTTTAGGTTTAAATAAACCAAGGAAGCTTTTCAATGGTAAGTTGTTTTACTTCAAAAATCTCAATCTCGAATATACGTAGTACTAGCAAGATTTTGACAAAATGGTGAATGCGCCGCGAAAAATGTTCGTCTGTGGCGCTGCGCTTACTGGCCTGCTGTATTTTTATACAATCGCTTCCCCTTCCAAAAATATCACCGCACGCCACTGGGTAAATTCTAATAATTCATTTATTAATTACGCCTCGCTAAGGTATTTTTTTAGTAGGCGCTTTTGTCAGTTCTATCAATGATAATTCAGAAAATAATTTAACTGAAATTATTAATATATAAATGCCAGGATGAAAATGAAGGAGAATGCATTGAATGCACTGAAAATAAAAAGTAAAACATCTTGCTGAAGAAGAGCATGTGATGGATATAGAATTTTTAATTAAAGCTCATAATAATTATAAAACTGATAAAGGGCTTTTTTTAACGGATTTATCAGTAGAACAAAGGCGGTTTATAATAGATAATGGACCTTGTCAGCCTTTAGGACCATATCCAAAAGATGTAAATAATAGGGGTTTTTCTGAATTTCATTATAAAAATAATCAAAATCCAGTTTGAAAATTGAAAGAATGTGGCTGTGTTATTAATTTTTATTAAATAAGTGTTATTGTCAATCATGTTGGCTATTTTCTAAAAAAACAAAAAGTTTTTTGCAATAGGATTTAATGACTGGTTGACAGTTCACGAAATATTGGATAAAATTAATTTTCATTGTATACTATCCAAAGGTTCCATTTATGACCTACCTTTTTATTACACCCATATGTAGACTGGCTGACGAGCTAAGAGGGACCTATAAATTTATCAGGATGCACAATGGCCTAAATGCCGTGGGGTAAACCACCTTCCACAAGTTACAATTACAGATGCTTATAAAACGTTTAAAAGGATAAATATATAGAACTTGGTAAAATAACAAAAAATAACAAAACTATCGTGAAACTGATACTGGATAAATATTTTAAGTTAAACCACAAGGTGGGCCAGTTGTAAAAAATATTTACATAAGTATTTCTGAATAAAAGGTAAACAATTAATAGCCACTTTTCGATTTCGATAACAAAATCATAGGTCTATAGATATTTTGAAATGTTTTCTTTCCCTTTCCAAAACTCCATTAGGTTCATTTTAAGACGAGACACCCTGTGTATTAGTTTTTAGCGGAGATGACTAAAGAAATATTGCACTTCGATTGTAAAGAACTATTTGGAATAAATATTGTATTAAAAAAATCTTCAACTCATTTTTTAAAAATATAAATATATATAAATAAAATTTTAAAAAATACTTAC